TAGAAACCAGAAAATATTCTTTGATCTAAAATCACTCTCATCTATTCTCTGAAAATTTTTATAAGAAGTGTTCTTCAATTTTTGTTTACATCCTCTCTAAAAAATTATACATTAAGTCGTATAGCTTTAAGCCCATCTTTCCTGCGTGAGGATTACAGAAAAATCAGAGTCTCATTTTTATATTTATCTTTGAGAGATAATTCTTGTAGCTTTCTATGAAAGCAAAAACACCTTCTTTTCAATCCTGTAAGAGTGTAGTACTCTCAGTGTTTTTTGGACTTAGAAAGTCTGTGTAAAATCCGTGGAGGATTGCTCCATCTGTGAAAAGGTTGCTAGCACCCTGTGAAGCTAGAGAATAGTGGAAAATCTCAAGTGAAGCTTGAGGAGTGGACGTATCTCACACCCCAAACCCGGGTATGACCGACCGTGGCCCACAGGGCCTTAGCCTAAGGCACACGTAAGCCTAAATACGAAACCATACACATTGAATAACTATAAAACAGTCCATCAATAAATAACTAAAACTCAATCCAGTGTCATGCCACAAGCATAAATGGCAAAATCAACCATAATCAATACCATCAAAACTTATGGGATAAAAACAACCCACATATCAAAATAATCCTAAATGAACCTCAATAAAAAAATATAAATATGCACAAACTTGACATAACAGTCTAAAACAAAATAAATGAATGTCCTAGAGGTCCATGCAATTGAGTTCCCACTATGCCACGAGTCCACTCTAAGTCCTTCTAACACCTGGAGATGATAAACAATTAAGTCAGCTGATAGCTCAGTGAGTAGCAACATGGATAGTATATACAATTTTGAAAACAGGGATCAATTCCAAAATAAGATATATATCACAGAAACTAGATTAGCATATAGTTTTGATAAAGATAATCTGTTTCGAAAAGAAGGTTCCATAGTTCAACAGTTAAAATACTCATATCTCTCAAGAACATGATAAATGACATTTTTCACTTAAAACAGATTACAACATGAACACCAATAATTTTCTGGGTACCAAGAAAATAACAAGTAATATGCCACACAGTTCTCAAGGCTATAAGCCCTGTTGGATCCAATATCGAACTAAGAGTCATCCTCAGGGTGGCAACCTGGGCCTTTTCTCAAAGACGATCTGATTGAAGGTCACCTAGCTTAACCTAAGTCTTTTCCTTACAATCGTTGAGCACTAGAGTCATCACGACCTAACCCGGATCTGTTCTCTAGTGGCCAGAGTCACCACACACAGTAGAATAATTTCCCTAGACTAAATGCACAGATGGTCCCAATAATCAAAACACATCAGTTTCGCAAAACATGGTAGTTAATCATTATAAACATGAGACCAAAACAAATAGTTTATAGTATGCCAAGTTCACACATGTTTCAGAAATAATTTGATTCCATTGATAATATAATAATTTATCAAAACAGTTTAGTCATGAAACAACAATTTAATTTTCCAACAGTTCAGGGTAGGGGAACATTTATAAAAATATGTAGTATGAAACTGCTCACCTGAAAATGAAATAATGTAATCTTCGAATAGAGTATAAAAGTCAAACTAGTGCCCTGAACCAAGTATAAAAACTACACGTCACTACTAATTTAAAAATACTAAAGAATAGGAACTAAGTAACCTTAACTAAAGCGCACTAACACAGCTCAATCCAACTCACCGTTACTCTTAAATATTACCTAAATTCATGTTCTTCAAGGTCTAAAATCACCCAAGACATGGGTTCCGGTCGAAACTTAATTAAATGTGACTTTGAGATAAAATAGAAATTTTGATAGGTTTTCCCGAACTGTTCACTAACTTTGAAAATTAAAAACCCACTCTACACCATTCGAAAAATTCCAAAACCCTCCAGATATCAACCAATATATCCTAAGTTTCAAACCCAATTGGTTTTACTTGATTTGCTTAATAATTATTTACAATTAATTATGTTCAAACATGTTGTTTTCTACAGCACTTTAAATAAATTAATGGTTCTCTTAGTATAGGAGAAATCAATGCAAGGCCAAAAATGCAAGAAACTAGACTGGTAACCGGTTCTAATGACACTGATTTGATAATTTTCGGATTTATACCCAAAGAGAACAACACTCCCGAATTTACTGTTTAAACCAGTTTTATGGACAGATTTGAACGCATCAGTTTATATGGATTTTGACTCCCAAAAATTATGCAAAAATTTAGATATGCAATTCAATATGTAATTGATCTACTGTAAAAATTTCAGTTCAAAATTCATCCGTTTGATATGGTTTCTTGATTTTTAAAGTTTGCGATTCTGTGCAGAATTTTTTTTGAACTAAGAATTACACCTATTCTTTACACATAAATTTAGCTCCTCAGATTTCTTAACAGTGTATATATATATACACAAAATACATAAACCTACAACCTCTCCATGAATGAATAAAATAATTATAGAATAAGAATGAAGAACAAAGAAAGAAGAGAAGAAAACCTAGGAGGGCCATCCTTTGATAATCACACACAGCTCAACACACCAAATTCCATCCATAATTAGTTGCAACCTTTTGTTTCTCTTCTCTCTCACGGCTGCTGCTGCTGCTAGGGAAATTGTTAGAAGAGCTAGGGTTTTGTTTTGTTTTTATTTTATACTAGCGGTTGGGTACGCCTAAAGCATGTGTAGGTCAAATAAACAGATAAATATACAAAATATATGTGTAAGTTATATGCAACTCAAATGGTAAGAGCCTTATTTATTAATTTTGTGGCCTAGAGTTCAAGTCACGCACTCTTCTCTATTTTTTTTTTTATATTTTATTTATAACAAACCTTGCCTCTAAATTAAAGTCTTTCACCATAAATTTATTTTAGGTTTTAAAATTAATTAAAAGACATTCCAAATATTTAATTTGCACTTTAGGATTCACCACCAAAATATTTGAGATTGTAATATTATTATTATTTAATTATTTACTTTATTTGTATATTTGGGTTCTCACAACGTATGCCGATTTGAAGCTGTAGCGACCTCGGTCTTTTCCCATTTGTTTATTGTATCCGGACTCAGGTTCCGTAGCTCCTGCCATTGTATTAAGATTGTTACCGTCCTTTATTTTCCTATTTCTGAGTTGGGGAATGCAACGGGCAGGTTTGTAGCAGGTTGGTTGGGCTTGGGAGCAAAGGGTTGCTGCCCAGAATTTTGACCCTTCGCTCGAGCGAGCAGTTCTTCGCTCGAGCGAACTCTTTGTTTTGGTCCGTCGCTCGAGCCAGGGTTTCTTCGATCGAGCGAGGATTGCATTTTGTAGTAAGACCTGAGAGCTGAGGTTTTTGGCTCGAGCGAGATTTTCTTCGCTCGAGCGAGTTAGTTTGTTCTTCGCTCGAGCGGGAGTTCCTTCGCTCGAGCGTGTGTCTGGTTTCAGACCTGAGGGTTTGAGTTCTTCGCTTGAGCGAGATTTCTTTCGCTCGAGCGAGCTTTTGGGTTTTTGGCTCGACAAAGGCCTCCTTGGCTCGAGCGTAGTTTTTTTTGTGTCTGGTCGCTCGAGCGACCAAGTCTTCGCTCGAGCGAACCTGTCCAGTTTAATTAGACAGCAGCGGGTTTTTTAATCAGTTTCCATCATCTTTTTAGATTCCAAACCCTAAGGTCCGACTTCTCTCTCTCCCTACTCACCTTCTCTCTTAGGTTTGATCTATTTAGAGTGTGTTTCTACCCTAGTTGCTTTATTAAAAAGATAGAGGGAGTCGAGGGCTTTCATTTAATCTGAACATTTGGCGATTTGGAGCACATTGGTATTTGGGCACTCATCTCTGTCTTCACCATTTGGGTTGTTTTCTTCGAGGTAGGGATTTCCTACTCCATTCTATAAGTTTTGTTCTAAGTTTTGGTATTTTGATATGTTGGGGTAGAAGTGTTTTATTGATACAACACTAAAATGTGTATCAATCTGGAAGTATGAAGTGTTTTGATTTGAGCTTGAGTTTCATTTGTTTGTTGAAATTGGAAGAATGTGAATATGATATATATATAATTCACTATTGTAAGTTTGGCCAGGTTCTGAGCCATATTGATAATGTTGGAAAGTGAAACGTGTCGTTGACAATAGTGTCATGAGATTGGATAATGATGTAATTGATTATCTTGGTTAACCATCTATTGAATGCTATTGCTTTATTCAATGCTTATATTTGGTTTAGTATTTTTCTACTGGGCTGTGGCTCACCCTTTATGGGAACATCATTTTCAGGTTCAGGTGATAAGCTACCTCCAAGGACTTAGCTTGGAAGGACTTGGATTTTGAAGACTATTTTTAGTTATTTGTTTTTCATTGTTAGTACATGTAAACACTCAAGCCTAGGGCTTTATTTATATTTGAGTTAGAACTCATACTTTTGTGTCCAAGTGTTGGCTTGGAAAGATGTAAGCCGTTAGGGCATTTAATTTGATGTTACATGTAATGCTTTTGTTTAGTAAGACTCTGATGAATATTATAATGAATTATTGAAGTGTTTTCTTTAAATAATGCAAGTCATTGATATATATAATGGGTTAATTTTTAGGGCGTTACAGAAGCCGAACCACTATAAATTTGTTTGCCTCTCGCTCCCTTATCTCGTTATTTTTATTTAAATTGTCATAGCTATATTTCATATTTTTCTTGTGCCAAAATCATTAATTAACATAGTTGTTAGAACACTTGTTTTAATTATTTTTATTTCATTAATTATATTTATCTATTGTGCTAGTCATAATTTTTATTAGGGTATTATTATTTTTATTTGTAAAAACCTAATTTACCCCCCCTCTTAGGTTGTCTTTTGGGTAACAGTTAAGTTTTAGAATTCCTCTACATCATGGGTAACCTTTTTGAAGGTACAATTCCGGAATCTTTCAAACAACTAAAGGGTCTTCAAGTTCTTGATGTTTCTTGGAATAACTTGTCAAGACAAATTCCAAGCTTTTTAAGCGAGTTACCTCTTTTGACTAAACCTCAATCTTTCTTACAATATGTTTGATGGTGAAATTCCAAATGGAGGAGTCTTCAAAAACATTAGTGCATTCTCAATTGTTGGAAATAAAAAGCTCTATGAAGGAATGAAAGTATTACAATTGCCTGCATGTCCTGCAAAAGACTTGAAGGAAAGGAGACGACCTTTTAAGCGTAGAGGAATAGTTGTAGTAGTAACTCTCACTATTTTTCTATTAATAGTGTGCACTTCAGCTATTATTTATAGAATTAGAAGGTCCAGACAACAAGCCTCTTCAACCCTGCCTTTGCAAAACCAACTTTTACAACTCTCTTATGGCTAAATTTTTCACGCAACCAATGGGTTCTCTTCAACCAACTTAATTGGTGAGGGAAGATATGGTTTGGTTCATCAAGGGATTCTCAAATTCAACAAATTAATTATTGCTGTGAAAGTACTCAAGCTTCATGAATGTGGAGCAATCAAGAGTTTTAAAACAGAATGTGAAGCATTGAAGAACATTTGCCATTGTAATCTAGTCAAGGTAATCACATCTTGCTCAAGCATTGATTTTAAAGGCAATGATTTTAAGGCATTGGTCTTCGAGTTCATGAAAAATGAGAGTTTAGAGAATTGGTTACATCCAATTTGTTTTTCAGAGCAACAAGACCCTAATCACTTGACATTTGTTCGAAGGCTAAACATTGCCATTGATGTGGCCTCTGCATTTGATTATCTTCATCATCATTGTGAAGTGGCTATCGTTCATTCCGATTTAACGCCAAGTAATATTCTTCTTGATGATAATTTATGTGCCCATGTTGGTGATTTTGGCCTCAGAAGGATTCTTTTAGCCACCACAGGTATATCCAATCATCATCAATCAAGTTCAATTGGGATTAAAGGAACAGTTGGATATGTTGCCCCAGGTAATTGTCTATATTTATTGTTCATTCCATTACATTGATTAAGAAATGTTATTTTTATTTTGTTTTATATTATTTATTTGTGGTGAACTATAAACTAAGACAAATTTATGTACAAATTAATCCTCGTTCTAGTTATGCTATAGATGAGTACTCCCTTTATCACCAAGTTGGGTGTTTTTCTACTGCAACAAATTAATGTAACTCTTGTTATACCCATTGGTATCCCAAAATTGATATTAACCCTTGGAGATAATTTATATTTTGAAATATTATAGTTCTTTTACCAAAAGAAGGTATAAAAATAATTTGCTAGTTGAAAGATTATACTAGAATTTACTAATTTGGATTCTTCTTCATTATTTCATACTGCAGAGTATGGTATGGGTGATGAGGTATCAACGCAGGGTGACATGTATACCTTTGGAGTGTTACTACTGGAAATGTTCACAGGAAAAAGACCTACTGATAACATATTCATTGATAATATTAACCTCCATATCCATGCAAAAAGGTCTCTTTCAGATCAAGTAATGGAGATTATTGATCACCAAATCATATTAGCAGAGGAAGATGAGCCAAGTAGGACCCGACAAAGTAGCACAAAGAACATTTCTAGATTAGAGGTCTGTCTTGCATTGGTCATTCAAATTGGAGTTTCTTGTTTTGTTGAACTGCCACACGAGAGAATGAATGCTAGAGATGTTCTAATGGAACTACATGTAACAACACACATTTATGGCTTAGTCATGTTCATGTGCATTCACATTATGTGGTCTTGTTAAGTTTGCATTCATGAATCTTGCCTTGTTTTGTGCTCATGTGATTTGTCTAAGTGTTGTGTGCATGCTTTGTTCCTTCCTTGGTGTCTCAAGCCTAAGTTATGTTAAGCCTAGATCATTCCAAGCCGAGGTCATCTTCAGTCTAGAATTATCTTGGAACCACTTTGTTTGACCTCCACCTTTGCCTTGACATATTGGCCGAGATGTCATTATCTAGGCCGAGGTGTTCATCACCAAGGCTGAGATGTGTACTATCTAGGCCGAGATGTTACCTTTGCACCTAAGTGATCTTGTCCTGGAGTGGTATGACCTAGACCGAGGTGTGGCACATCTAGGCCAAGGTGTGGCACAGCTTAGTCAAGTTTTGTCCTTCCTAGCCGAGGTCATTGTCACCTTAGTTGCCGAAGCTTTGTCCTTAGCCGATGTCATCACTTGCCGGAGTGCCTTACCGAGTAGCTTGTTAGATACACTTTGTCTTACACATGTCTTGTCAATCTATCACCTTTTTGGGGAGAGCCAACCAGCTGTTGCCACGTGTCCGAGCTGAGTGTTATGTCAGCCGGCAGAGGGAGAAACCTATCATTTGTTATATCCTTGTTTTTGAAGAGGAGAGAGAAGCGCTAGGAGAGGAAGAGGAGTTCTTGAGGGAGAGTGGATTTCCAAGCTTGATCCCTAGAGATTGAACCGTTAGATCCGTGTTCTAAGGTTAGATTCTTGATCTGATATGTTGTTCTTTATGTTCATGTTATTGCATTGCATGATTGAATATGATTTGCAAGCCATGCATTGCTTTGAAGTTCGATTTTAGAAATAGAAAATAGTATTCATGTGTTCTTCAAGAAAAGTCATGTTTTGATCCTAAAGTTCATGCCAAGATCCATGTTTTCGTGTTTGTTTCCATATGATCTTCAAGTATGGGTACCCAGGTCCATGTTTTCGAACTCATAGCATGAAATCCCAGATTTTGTAATAAAGAAGTTATGATTTTAGCATTCATGTTCTTCATATTCTTCACGGGTGGAAACCCAGATCTCCAGACCTCACTTCCCTAAGTGTAGTCGCCGAGATCACTCTTACCTAGACCTCACGCATAGGCCAAGCATCGTATCTCACCTTGGCCAACCTTGCATGATCACTTACACCTTTAGTTTGTCTTGTGCGCACCTCGGCATGTAGCCGCACGCCGAAGCCTAGGTAGCCACACCTCGGCCAGGAGGTGTGGGACCTCGGCAAAGACCTGGTTGGTACCCAGCATGTCTTCTTGACACGTAAAATAGTGTTTTGACTTCCAGCATGTTTTCCTGAGATCACTTGCATGCATGTAAGACTTGTTTTGAGAAGTACGTTCAGTAGACTTTGCCATGTGTTTGTAGGACTTGGACTTTTGCCTTGATCCCGACGTCTGAAGAACTATGTGAGTGGTATTTTTAATAAAGTTATGTTAAAAGGATTTGATAAAGCCTTGTTTTGTTTTGATAAAAGCATTTGATCAAGCATGAATGATTACCCCTATTTTTATGTATCAAGTAAGCTTTGTTTTGATGACATTCTCGGAAAGTGGCCTCTGCATTTGATTATCTTCATCATCATTGTGAAGTGGCTATCGTTCATTGCGATTTAACGCCAAGTAACATTCTTCTTGATGATAATTTATGTGCCCATGTTGGTGATTTTGGCCTCACAAGGATTCTTTCAGCCACCACAGGTATATCCAATAATCATCAATCAAGTTCAATTGGGATTAGAGGAATAGTTGGATATGTTGCCCCAGGTAATTGTCTATATTTATTGTTCATTCCATTACATTGATTAAGAAATGTTATTTTTATTTTGTTTTATATTATTTATTTGTGGTGAACTATAAACTAAGACAAATTTATGTACAAATTAATCCTCGCTCTAGTTATGCTATAGATGAGTACTCCCATTATCACCAAGTTGGGTGTTTTTCTACTGCAACAAATTAATGTAACTCTTGTTATACTCATTGGTATCCCAAAATTGATATTAACCCTTGGAGATAATTTATATTTTGAAATATTATAGTTCTTTTACCAAAAGAAGGTATAAAAATAATTTGCTAGTTGAAAGATTATACTAGAATTTACTAATTTGGATTCTTCTTCATTATTTCATACTGCAAAGTATGGTATGGGTGAAGAGGTATCAACGCAGGGTGACATGTATAGCTTTGGAGTGTTACTACTGGAAATGTTCACAGGAAAAAGACCTACTGATAACATATTCATTGATAATATTAGCCTCCATATCCATGCAAAAAGGTCTCTTTCAGATCAAGTAATGGAGATTATTGATCACCAAATCATATTGGCAGAGGAAGAGGAGCCAAGTAGGACCTGACAAAGTAGCACAAAGAACATTTCTAGATTAGAGGTCTGTCTTGCATTGGTCATTCAAATTGGAGTTTCTTGTTTTGTTGAACTGCCGCACAAGAGAATGAATGCTAGAGATGTTCTAATGGAACTACAGAAGATTAGAAATGTATTTCTTGGGTTTAGGGGACAAAACTAAAGGCACACATGTAGCTTATGTTGATGTTCTTGTTCTCTACTACCAATTGGTTCCTATCTTGTGCTGTAAAGATTTTTTTTACATGGTGCCCAAACTTTGATCAATTTCAGAGTTTTTTGGGATTTCAAATCTGGTTCAGATCTAGGGTTTTTCATGCGATGTTTGAACTAATCTAATCCAAGATCAAATTGATTAATGTGAATTCAAAAACTTTCACTAGAACTTTGTGATTAGAATTTCCAATTACTTTGTGGGGCTTAATTTGTACATTTGTGATCCAACAAAAGCTGGTTAGTTCTTGGATAGTTTCAGTATAATGTATAAGTTTTAGGAATTAAATTTTTCCGTCCTAAAAGTTTTTTTTTTTTGGTTAGAAAAAACATTAAGAAATTAATTCTTCTTGTCATGTGAGTCGTCACTGAAAAATTATCCCAAAAAGTATTAAAAAAAAAGGACCTTTACTGACAAAATTTTGAAAATGTAACCAATAAATGCATTTTGAAGAACAAAACAATTTTGTTTTGTTTTGTTTTGTTTTTTTTTACCTTCTAAGACAAAACAAAACAATTTTTTTTTTTTTTTTTTTTTTTTTTTTTTTTACCTTCTAAGACAAAAAAAAAAAGGATCTAAAAAGGACAATAATTCATCATTAAATGCTCAATTTTGTTCCTAAAAAGAAAAAAATGCTATTTTTAATAATTAAAATATTTCGTAAATAAAAAGTGATTTTGCTCCAAAAATTTTTGTCTCTAAACCTTAAAAATTTTGTCTCTAAACCTTAATTTGTTGTAATATTTTGCCGCAATATATTGATGACAAAAATTGTCATAATAGGTTTATTGCAATGAAATAAATTTTTAAATTTTTTTATAGCAAAAAAATATACAAAATGAAGTTTTCATCTTGACATATATTGTAAGAAAGGCTCTTGATCTCTCCATTTCAAAGAAAATATTTCATTACATATTTAATGGTTTTAAAATATAATAATTTATTTGTTTATTTTACTTTGACAAGATATTATAATAAATTTTTAGGTACTCGGTCCATAAATTCAAATTTATTTTATTTTTGCCTAAAGGTCCACGTCTTAAAATTCATGAGGACAAACTCCTAAAAAATGACCACATTACCCATCTCTCTCTATATATATGGGATTTTTATTGATAAATCTCATTTAGAAGTGTTCTAACCGAGGAAGCCATGAAGGAATTTTTTAGTCCACTTAGTCCCATGTATTTATAGTTTTATTCCATAAAGTCTTTTTTATTTTTATTTTTATTTACACTATTTTCATAGACTCTTATGCCCTCATATTTAATATTGATATTTAATGTTGATATTTAACGTTGGAGGGAGGAGAGAAAAGGGAAAGGACCAAGGCATAGGAAATTTCATATACAAATTAAATAACATTGATGTTATTATTTTATAGTATTATATAATGTGAATATATTTTTAATTGACAACACATTAAAAATAATGTAAACATTCTCTCTCATCTGATGTGAACCTTAACATCACCTTTATCACAACATCATCTGATGTGAATATTCACATTCACGTCGTCACGTACAGTCATGTTTATATTCAAATAAAAGTTGAAGCTTGTAGTTGTGTAATTTGATGCAATGCTAATGTGAACCTTAACATCATATTTATCACACGTCATCTGATGTGAACATTCACATTCACGTTATCCGATATGAACATTCACTCTCACGTCATCTAATGTAAACATTCACATCATCACGTACAGTCAATATTTGCATGCATGAGAACTACCAAAATATAATGACAATGAATAAAGAACCATACTTAATTTTTTTGTGTGTAATATATATCAACATTAAATAGTGGTGTGTAGTTAATGCATTTTTTG